GGAAATCCGTCAAAAACCTCTGACATAACACCCCACCAATCCCATCGGCCACCGCTAACGAAATGGTAACCACTCAAACTTTGCCGACATCGGAATTCCGACGGAATTAGTTCCGTCGGTATGAGCTGACCACTCAAACTTTGCTGACATCGGAAAAATTGGATTTCCGTCGTTATTCCGTCGGAAAGTCGTCGGAAAATTACGACAGCTTATTTCCRTCGRAAATMYGTCGGGACAAGACGAYGGATTTCCGAYGGAATACYGAYGGWTTYYGTRTCCGTCGGAAATCCGTCACAATAAACCGACGGATTTCCGACGGATTTATTTTGCTCGGAAATTCGTCGGGATGCCGTCGGAAATTTCCGACGGAAATTTCGTCCGTCGGAAATTCCGTCGGAATACTGCTTGTTTTTTTTGTAGTGGAAGTGTACAAGAATCAGATTTTAAGTTTGTTCAAATTATAACAAACAAGTTGGAGAGACAATAGCCTAATTAATAATTAAATAATGATTTGTGAGGTTTGGATGGAGAAAAGAAAATTATCGTTGAGCCAACCTCATGGTTTAAGAGTCCAACACTCATTCATCATTATCGCCATTCTTGTTAAAAAATGGCTTCTTGTCTTCATGAAAAATGCTAATTTTCATGTAAAAAAACCTCTAAATTGATGTTTATCCCTGCATTTTCCCAAATAATCATAGTTTTTTTCCTTAATGAAACAAATAAAAAGCAGAAATTAAGGGTAACACAAGAGAAAGAACAAAAGTAGAGATGAGTTCCAAGAAAGTTGGAACTAGGCTAAGAGGAAGGACCAGTCCAATAGGATTTAACAGCGAGAAGAATCTTTTCAGGGTTAAAGGGACCTTTCTCGTGATCCAAAATCCGACTCTTCCACTTCATTCCATTGGTTAAGCTCTGAATCTTCGTCAACGTTTCCACATTGTCCCTAAACACCACTGTTCCCTCTGGTCTCAGTATTCTATCCATCTCGAGAAGTATCAATGTTATATCACACCTTTCATAATCATCAACAACAAAATTAGCGTTTGTGAGACTCGGACGCGAAGGCAAATGTATATATGCATGCATTATTTTTCTTTTTTAAGTTGAGTATTTTTAAAATTCACACTTTTTTTTTAATAATTTTTCATATATGTACTCCGATTCTAATTAAAAACATGGAAATTTAGAGCGAAAAGTTAATAAATTTTTACCAAAACTACTATATATATTAGGGCCTAAATTGTATATGACATAAATTGTTTTTGTAACAGTTCTCATAATTTAAAAAAAAAAAATAGTTTTCATAACGTGTAATAAATAATAAACCCACACGTTAATTTTTCTTTTTGTATATGACATATATGTTTTTGTCATAGAATTTGCAATGGAATTATGTCCCATATAAATTGGCTCCTCACTAAATTTATGATCAACCTCTCATATTTTCGTATAATATTTTTGCAAACTATAAACGCAAATGCCAAACGTATAAACATAAAATTTTCCTCCTGTTTGCGTTTGACATTTACGTTTACAACTAACAATTTTTTTTGTTAATTTATGTTTAAGGTTAGAGGTTGATTTGAAAAAGAAAAAAACTACACTAATCAAACATTCAACCCTTAGTAGTTATTGTTTACCTGCTCTCGTAGATGCTGAACAATCCACCCGCATGAATAAGATCATAAGTTCTTGGATACGTAGAGAAACCTTCACACCAATCTTGATACGTTCCTATAAATCCCCGTTCATATATCGCCCCTAACGTCTGCTTCTCTGCATCCACAGGAACCACATTCATAACCCAAGATGGATATTTCACCATTGCTGCTGCAAATCCTCCAAGGTATGCATTCATGTCCATTATGTTCCTGAATCTTCCCTTTGAAATCTCAGGTATTATCTGTTTGTAATATGCTATTCTTTCCTTCCACACCTCATTGTCTTCTCTGAATTTCTCTGCATTGATTTCCGGTATAGTTCCCCGGATAATCCTAGGTGGTACCGCAAAAGCTCGGTCCGGCCAATCCTCCAATGCACCTCCTGCAAATTCCTCTGGACCGTTTGCTTCTGGCAATGGCGTTACACAAGATTCCAAGTCTTTGTACCTATTAGCAAGATTATTAATCAAGTTTCCAAAAGAAAAAAAAAAACAGAGTATATAGAGCATTTGAGGAGTTTAAAATGTTACCAAGCGAAATCGGGTTCAGATTTGCTGCATAGAGGAGGAGATTTGTGAACTCTTTTGAGTTTTTTACACTCAACATGATTAATAGGCTTTTGCCAGATTGATAAATCACCTTTCTCTGTAACTTTCTTCCAACAAAGACTTCTTGCTGCGTTTTCTATTGAATCTTGCTCTTGCTTCAAATCCTCTTGTGTTCTTTCCCATCCTTTCCAGTATTTCTTCCAGTTGATTGGTGGGCCCGATAAGATCCAATAACCGCCCGGTCTTAATACCCGGTCCACTTCGGTCAAGTATAAACCATCTACACACAATTCATTTTCTTGGTTAAGTAAGAAGTTTCCACAACAATCAAGAAACCATGACGAGAAAAATCAAGAAAATGTTCATTACCGTTTTCAAACCAAGGAATCAAACAACGAGAACAATGAGCAAGATCAAATGCTCTAGCTGGATAAGGAAGCCTTCTTGATCCCATTATCCCGATTATCGCAGGAACTCCACGTTCCAACGCGAATTGAACTTGAGCTTCATGAGTGTCTCTTGGAGCAAAGGACATAGCCACAATATCCCTCTTCAATAAGTAAGCACCAAAACTCGCAACCTAACACACCAAATAAAACCGAATTTAAAAAAAAAAAATCGGTTAAAAC